ATGTTTTTTCACGCACACACGCACAAGCAAACAAACAAATACAAACACACACACGACGAAAGAGAGGAAGTAAAAATAAGTTTGGAGCACACTGGCTTAATAACTTGGATTCCGAAAGCTTCTTACGAGACTGTCTGCTTACATACCCTGCCCAATAAGCATCAGTGTCACTACAAGTTAGTAAAAAAACACACACACAACACAATCAAATACATTTCAAACATGGATTCTACACACACACACACACACACACACACACACACACACACACACACACACACACAGAGACATACTTAATTTTTTTTTCAAGAATAGGATCTTGGTCAATTGACGATGCTACAGTGGGGCTGAGCAAATACGAAAAGGGCGGTTCCCTGACCTACTACCAGAACAGCACATGCCCCCTCACGGCAACCATGAACGGGGCTGTTATAACCCACGAATCCTACCCCTGCTGTCCAAATGTTCAGTACGCATCTCTGGAGATTTCCATCACCTACATTCATCACCACTACAGAGGCTGTGGCACTCAAACTCAGCAGACCACCACTGATCACAGTGATGAATGTTGAGTTGGTGGTAGTTTGCGAATGATGATGATGACAATGGTGGTGAGGATGATGATGATGATGATGATGATGGTAATGGTGGTGGTGATGATGATGATGGTGGTGATAATGATGATAAAGAAGATGATGGTGATGATGATGATAGTGATGATGATGATGATGGTGGTGATGATGATGATGATAATGGTGGCGGTGATGATGATGATAAAGAAGAAGATGATGATGATATATTGAATAGAAGCTTTTATCTATTTTAAAAAAAATGCTCACGTCAAACTTTTGAAAAACTGTTAGAATAAGCGAGTGATAGATTTTTTGATTTATTTATTTAACATGGAAATGAGGGATTTTAATTTGATTAGTTTCGAATAATTAATTATTTATTAACATATTTTAATTTATTTCGCAGTTTTATGTTAAATTTTTTAATTAATTTGTGTTGGGATCAGTTTTCTTAGAAAGAAATTTCAGCAAACACAGTGTTTCATTCAATTATTTTGTAAAGATATCCAGAGACCAAATGGAGGAATGTATAGTGTATACTTCAGTCGCTTAGATTTGAAAATTGAAGTCATTTTAACTACAACAACACCAACAACATCACCGTCATGATGAACGCCAACAACAACATCAACAAACTACTACTCACAACAAGGTCGTTTTAATTAAATTAATCAAACAGACAAAAATTGACGACGATGAGGAAGACGACGTTGCTGCTACTGCTGCTGCTGCTGCTGTTGAGGATAGTGATGAGAAAGATGATGATGAAAAAGGAGAGGAGAATGATGATGGTGATGACGACGACAATGGGGATGATGAAAATGTGTTTATAAAAAGATTTCTAGTTTGTATTAAACTTTCAACAAAGTTCAAAATTCGCCATAACAACATTGATGACGACGATGATGAAAGGTGGAGAAAATATAAAAAAAGAAAATTAAAGAGAGAAAGAAAGAGAGAGAGAGAGAGAAAGAGAAAATGAGAGAGAGAGAGAGAGAGTGACAATACGAATGTAGGAGAGAAAAAAATACAGACAAGTAGAGGAACTTCCTAAAAAAAATTTAAAAAATACAAACAAAATGGTAAGTTAAAAATATAAGATGAAGAAAAACTAAGTAATAGTATTATTAATAACACTAATAATAATAATAATAATAATAATAATAATAATAATAGTATTAGTGATAACACTAATAATAATAATAATAATAATAACGAAAATTATTACGAACCAAACTCTGGGTTTAAGTCTCGAAAGATTTATTAGCGAGACCACGCCAAAAATAATTTAACGTTTATTATTATTATTGCTTTTATTATTATTATTATTATTACTATTGTTATTATAGTATAAACTTATAATAGCCATTATATATTTTGCTTTAGCAGTAATAGTAGTAGCAGTAGTAGTAGTAGTAGTAGTAGTAGTAGTAGTAGTAGTAATAGTAGTAGTAGTAGTAGTAGTAGTAGTAGTAGTAGTAGTAGTAGTAGTAGTAGAAGTAGTAGTAGTAATAGTAGTAGTAGTAGTAGTAGTAGTAGTAGTAGTAGTAGTAGTAGTAGTAGTAGTAGTAATTTATTAGGACTCTATCACATCATACCACGTCATATTCTTCTGTCAACGACGATGTTTAAGTTGTTTAGGAGGTCAAGTTCAAAGTTCAAAGTTCGTGGAGAGACCTACTACTAAGACGACGACGACGATGAAGATGACGACGATGAAGATGATGGTGATGATGACGTTTGAAAAAGATGAAGACGATGGCGGTGGGTATGAGAGTAAGATGATGGTTGAGATAGAGATGATGATGAGGAAGAAGATGACGAGGAGGAATAAAATGAGGAAGAGGATGATGATGATGATGGTAAATTAGATGGAACTTTGAAATACTGAACCTTTGTTTTGCTGAAAATTTCATTTAAATACGGTTGGTTATGAACGACTAACTTGTTAATTTTGACACATCATCATCATCAAGGTGACATTATTCTATTTTAATTTTTCTATTTTATTTTCAACTCTTATTTATATTTCGATCATAATTTTAATAATTATTTATTCATAACAATCAGAAAAGTCTTTCCATTTTAGTTGAATTGTTTTGTATTTAAATGAAATTATTTGCAAATAATTTGACAGCGTAATGAAGCTTTTGTTGGTCACCTTAGTCCTTGCACTGTCAGTCGAGGTCTTTGTAATTTTTATTTTGTATAACATGTGTGTGTGTGTGTGTGTTGTGTGTGAGTGTAATCAATTAAGCAATCAATCAAGCAACCAATCAATCAAGCAACCAATCAATTAGCTAATTTTTCAATTGGCCAAGGAATCAATTAATCACTCAATCCTCTCGTATTTATATAGCGAGTTTTTCTCCAAACAAATTTTCCAGGCCATCCTTGGCTCTCACTACGAAGCAAAGGCAAAGCTATGGAAGCATCTATTTGATGACTATCACAAGGAATTCGAACCCGAGGACGCAAAGATCGGATTCGGGATGGGCATCCAGTGTGCCATGTATGATAGGAGGACCCACGTTGTCTCTACTTATGTCTGGGAGAGATACGTTAGTGATGATGGCCGGGTTGTTGGTGATGAGGATGGTGATTATGATGATGATGAGGACGATGATGATGATGATGATGATGAGGGGGAGGACTAGGATGATGTGGAGGATGATGATAACGATGACCATGATGGTGGTGATGATCCGGTAAAAATTTATCAATCAATATTCACACTCGGGTTGAAAATATTGTTATCGTTGTACTCGTTGTACTCTATACATCATTATCATCATCGTAACCATCATCATCATCACGTTGTCATCCGATCATCATCAATATCACGTGACCAGTCGTGGGTGGACAAACGTCTGACCTGGGCACCAGCCGATTATGACAACGTGCAATCACTCAGGGTGAGTCCCGACCATCTCTGGATGCCAGACTTCAAACTCTACCACGGGTATGTCTGTCTGTCTGGTCTGTCTGTTTTATCTGTCTGTCTGTCTGTGTCTTTGTGCAATACTATAATACCTCTCAAGTATATAAAACGTATTAATATTATGCTATATATGTATAATATAACACCATGATGCCTCAGACATGACGAGAAAGAAATGACGAAGACGGTGCTGAACCACGATGGCTCCATCATCTGGATCCCACCAGCCATGTATAAGTCCCTCTGCGAGAAGGGCGCCAATGACACCCTGCACTGCCACTACAAGTTAGTTAGACCATTTCGTAATTAATTATCATTTAGAGAGAAAGATAGAGAGAGTGTGGAAGAGAGAGAAAGAGAGAGAGGGAGGGAAAGAGAGAACATCAAAATAAATTGCAACAAAAACATTTTTATTTTCTCTCACCCTTCCAGAATCGGGTCATGGACGGTTGATGACGACACAGTGGGTCTGGAGAAATGGGGTGCTGGGGCTAGCCTCGACTACTACCAGAACACAACCTGCCCTCTGGTGCCCTCTCTGGGTCACGTCGAGGTCATACGCCGTACCTACCCCTGCTGCCACAACATTCCATATGCTGCTATGGAGATCGCTGTAGACTACGTCTATCATGATGACCATGACGATGACCATCATCACCACCACCATCACCACGATCATGATCATGATCATGATCATCACGCGGCTGTTGCTAAACCTGCCCATGACGACCATGAGGATGAATGTTAAGATGCTTTCGATGTCATATGACGGTTTGGTTGCAGCTGCTGTGGCTGCTACAGAAGCTGCTGCTGCTGCTAATTTTGTTATCTTTGTAGTTATTGTGGTTGTAGTTGATGTTGATTTGAAGATGAAACGATTGATTATGGACAAAAAATTGCTTTCGTGACAAAAAAAATTTGTTCAAATATTTCAGTACGTTATTATGAAAGAAATCACGTCCAGACGTTTAAAGAGTTTGAGATGAAATGATAAAAAAAAGTCTTTATTGAAGTGTCAATCATTAATTGATCGTGTATGCAGTTTATAATTTGCCTTTTGATATTTTTAATGTTTCATTTTCAACATTTGCTTGCCTAAAAAAATTTTTAAAAAAATTTCACTTCTTAATGAAAAATAAACAAAAATGACAATAAAAAAAGTTAATTCAAAAAGTGTCTTAACAATAGCACAAAAAACCGAAGAGAATAATTCAACTTTAAATATTTATCGCACAAAAAAAATAATTTTGAATTAACAAAAGTAAAACCACCGATTAAAATCAAATGTTATTATCGTAAAAAAAAAGTCGCCAAATTTGTAATTTAGACTAGCTCGATATACAAAAAAATGAGTTGTTCATTTAATTGCATTGCTCTTAAACTAGTAAACACTAAAAATACTTAATTACTACTCCCTTCTTTAGTTAGTACACATTTATTCAATAACTTCTACTACAAATCCATTAGAATGCTTACGTAATAACGAAAGAATTCCTTAAAATAGTGTTGCAAAATCCATCTTAAACATTCATAAATCAGGATTACGCAATTTACACTACTACATAAAGATATAAATTGTTGCTCTTCTAATTAATTTATTAGGTTCTGTTAAACCTTGCAGCCGTGATATCAAAAAGAAAAAATATTTTGACAGTAGCGTTGCTATCACTGCTGTTACTATTTCTGCTGCTGCTGCCGCTACTACTACTGCTACAACTTCTGCTGGTATTACTACTACTACTACTACTACTACTACTACTACTACTACTACTACTACTACTACTACTACTACTACTGCTACTAATGTTACTATTACCACTCCCTTCTACAGTCGCATGCGGCTGCGTCTATCGCTACTGCTACTATTACTGCTGCTGCTACTAGCAGTAGTACTATCCTCTATGAGAGAGAGAGAGAGAGAGAGAGAGAAAGGCAGGAGGGAGAGAGAGAAAAAAACAGGAGAAGAGAGAGGGAGAGTGTAATTAAAAATTAAGATATATGCTCAGACTTGGCCACAAATCACCGTCTACTTGTTGCGTGTTGGTTGCGTGACATTTGCAGTAGAGTAACTTTTGAACCGAGGTACATATATAAGACATAAGCACCACACACACGCACACACATGCGCGCACACACACGCACACACACACGCACATACAGGCTCACTATATATATATATATATATATATATATATACCTAAGTGTACATATAAGAATAATCGTATAAGAAGCATACGATTTACACTTGTACATACAGCATTATAATTTCGTAATTTTAACTATACATAATTTTCCAAATCATCTTAATTCTGATTTATGGATCTGAGAAAACGTGTTACATCAAAATGTTGACCAAAGTTTAACGTTCAAAAAATGTAATTGAGACTCGAGACCACCTAGCGTCGCGATTTCAAAGTCTAGAGACTGTCTTATAAGAGACAGGTTCTAGTTCATGCGGTAGTTACTATCTAGAGTGAAGACCCAACTGAGGTAGAGCAACTAAACTTTGATCGGTTTGTGATGCAAATTTTTTTACAATTTTTACGGGTTTTTTCCATTTATGGTATATTTTCTAACTTGGTTGTTGCATTGTGGGTTTTTATAAGAATTTTCGAGTGAATTATTTTTTTAACAATTTTTGATATATTTTTTATGTATATTTTTAAATTATTGGCTTTTATTTGTGTTGTAACTCATTATTTGTATAACTTTTCGATCTTTTTCTCCCTTTTTACGTTCGTAAATGTTTTTTTTTTGGAAAATTTTTATGTTAATTGTAGAGATTTTTTCATCGTTTATGAAGCATTCTGTGCAGTTTCGATAATCCACATTTGAGTTTCGGCTGTTTAGCATTTATTTTATTTCATTTTTTAATTTAATTTATTTTCTTTTACAGAAACATGAAGATCATTCTTTTAAGTTTGGTGGTGGTCCTATCCATCCAGGTGCCCGAGCTAACTTACTAACATTTACTTGCATGAATATAAATTATAAACAGTTAACTTGGTTGTCACATAAATTATTACGTAAAATAAAATATTAAATTGAAAATATGAAATAAATATAGAATGAATAAAATAAAAAATGTTAGAAATTCCCAGAGGTGTCTACTAGAAGAACACGTTGCATGCATTCGACTTGGATCTCTTGCGATCGAACTCGGTCACTACATCAATAATGCTTGGCATCTTAAGCATTAGGCAATCTACATCATTGAATCCTTCGTTTAAATTTACAGGACATCTTTGCCGATCACCATTATGAAAGTTTGAAAAAGCTGAAAGACCATCTGTTGGATGGTTACAGGAAGGATTTCGCTCCAAGTCCAGTTGACGTTCAGTTCAGTTTCGATCTCAGGGCTGCTCGTTACAACAAAAAAACTCACGTTGTCGAAACCACAGTCTGGGAATCATACGTCAGTGAATTAGGCAATCAATCAATCATTCAATCAATCAATCATTCAATCAATCAATCATTCAATCAATCAATCAATCAATCAATCAATCAATCAATCAATCAATCAATCAATCAATCAATCAATCAATCATTCAATCAATCAATCAATCATTCAATCAATCAATCATTCAATCAATCAATCAATCAATCAATCAATCAATCAATCAATCAATCATTCAATCAATCAATCATTCAATCAATCAATCATTCAATCAATCAATCAATCATTCAATCAATCAATCATTCAATCAATCAATCATTCAATCAATCAATCATTCAATCAATCAATCATTTAGTCAAACAGTCAATCGCTCAAATAATCATGATCAATCGAGCCATCGATCTTTTAATAATCTACCCGCCTGTAAATTATCAGCGCAATCGTCATTATTATTTTCACCTTCATCGCCATCATCATCGTCTTCATCCTCACCATTGTCCCCATCTTACTCTCCATCGTCACCGTAGAAATGGCATGACGATCGATTGGTTTGGAAGCCAGAGGACTACGACAACCGTTCCATCATCATCATGGAGCACGATCCCATCTGGACCCCTGACTTCAAACTTTACAACGAGTAAGTTCAGTTAGTCTTTATTTTTTAAAAAAAATATTTGATGACTGAATTGTTAGAACGCCCGTTTTTGAGTTCCATGAACTGGGTTTAAATGCGAAGTCATCCTTCCAACTTCAATCAAATTTAAACTAAAACACCATCTACAAATGCAGAGTTGACGAGAGAGAGGATAGAGATGAGACAAACGTGAGGATTCACTCGGATGGCACCGTGGAGTGGTACCCCACCGCCCTCTACCAGACCTACGGCAAGAAGGGAGCCGGCAAATCAGGAACCGTTCATTTTGTGTTAGTTGCTCTTTTTATGTGTTTGCGATTATTTGATGATACTTTTACAATTTTTTTATTAAGATCGTCGTCGGTTTTTCATTTTTATCGCCATCACACGCACACACGTACACACGCACACACGCACGCACGCACACACAGGATCGGATCATGGAGCTTCCACACAAGCATCCTGAAGATCAGCAAGATGGGTGAAGGGGTGAGCCTCCGATATTTCCTCAACGAGACGAGCCCACTACTGGCCGAAATCGACCACGTAGATGTCGACGCCAAGAGGTACTCGGATTTTGATAAAGATTTCGCCACCCTCGATGCCACCGTGGTCTTCAAGAAGAGACCGGACTACGATGACGATGACGACCACCACCACCACCCACACACACACGACAAGGCTCCAGAAGCCGCCCACGCCGCTGACGATTGTTAGAACATAGTCTAGAAGGTTCTAGAGGGTTTTGGAATGTTCTAGAAGGCTCTTGAACGTTTGGAAACATTTTAAATTGTTTAATAATAAAGTCTGGGGGAATGTTTCTTGTGTGGATGTTTTTTGAGTTTCTGGAACTTGGCTTGTAGTGACGAGTGCGGCTGTGGTTGGATGATGAATAAATTATTTCTATCTCTGGGTCATGATCGAATTAGTTTTTTAATTAATTTATTAATTAATAGCTAATAAATGATTTCAATTTCAAACCAATTTGTGTGCGTCGGTTAAATTAGTTCTCAAACATACGAAAATATCTCGAGATATTATTGAGAGAACCAATATTGAATACACGTCGTTATGTTCAAAAACAGTTTATAATGACATCAATAACAACAACAATAATAATATTAACAACAACAATAACATCATTAACAATAACAATAGTAGTAACAATAATAATAATAATAACAATAATAATAATAAAGATATCAAGTGATTGATAGGATGATTAGTTTCACACAAGATGTGACAACCTTAAAATTAAAAAATTTAACTATCTATATCTTAATCTTATTTTTCAGTAACCTGGCTCGGCCGTTTGGTTGAATCACCAGTGTTTGGTAGATACAAATCAAAATGTTGTTAGCAGAGCACAAATGTCACCATTCCTTCTTTGTTTTATGTCTGAAAATAACTCGACGTGTATAAAATTAAAGGTGAGCATGGGAACGGAAATGGCGGGTATCCCATGGAAATGGTAAAACTTTATTTGCGGGAATGGGAATATTAGGAAATAGGAAATTGCAGTTTGGGAGTCGAGAATGATAAGCGGGGATGGAAAAAATGGGAGAAACGGCATCTACGTGCGAAAATAAAAGCCTATATATATATATATATATATATATATTTATTTATTTATTTATTTATTTATTTATATATGTATATTTGTACACATGTGATCGATGTAAAGACATAGGCACACACGTACGCGATATTCTATATACAACTATATATAACTGAAGAGGATCGGGAATGAGAAAAAAAATAGGAGGAAATTTGGAACAAATTTCAATTCCCGCTCAGTTTGAACAAGGTTAGTTTTAAGACATTTTTGAGTTACCACGTAGCCGAAGTTTTCTTTATATCACAGTCAACCATAGAACTATAACATCAGCTAACCTGTATGTTGTAATAGGTGGCAATATACTTAATTCTACAGTTTTTTCAACTGACACTGTTATTGAATGGATTGTTTTAAGAAACTAATAAGCTATCAGTCATCATAATTTTTCATTATCATTATCACTGGCATCTTCTTTCATCATCTGCATCAGCAACTTCTAACATCTAATTTATAGTATAAGTGAAATTACTGTACTAAAATGATTTGAATACAAATCGCTGATTTCTTGCAAATTTAACGTTATTTTGGAGTATTTATTTTAATTATTGATCGTTTATTAATATTTTGCGGTTTTGAAGCATTTTGTCGATGAAATCAAGTAAAGCTCGCGTTAGCTCTACAAACGCTTTATATTGTAGTGCGATACTATTATGAACGGTTGGCTGATCTTAGCATGAAATTTCAATGAATTATTTATAATAAAATATTTTTCATTACATTAAATAATAAAAATCTCTTACAAAAAATGTTTTAATTAATTTTTTTTTTAAATTTAATTTTAAAACATCAAAGAGCTTTCCAAAATTGAATTTTTAGACGAATCACACATTTTGGCTTTCATCTTCAGTTTGGCTTTGTTGTGTCCTATTGTGAAACCAACACGCGAAGTAGAGAAATAAATAACTTTAAAATTAATTTCGCCTAAAAATTCTGAAAGATCCTAATCAAAATGAACCCACCGGACAATTGGGACGATCAACCAATTGAAGGTGTGACCACTTCTCTGGCCCAACAATCATTAGAGGGCCCAAAATCCGAACCGGCTGTCTTGCCTGGTCACAACGTGTTTGCTAAGGAATTCGTTCCTAGTTTCTCTTTTAAACCTCCGGGGCCAGCTGTTCCGGACGAAAAGTTAGTGCAAAGTTCTATGATGGCCGACGATAGCTCGCCGCCACGACCGGCTGATGATTCCGGTAAAAAACCGTTTTCTATTTTTTTTCTATTGTTTTTTAAATTAAATTAAAAATGAATTGAAATTTTATTAACTGATTAATTTTTCATTATAATAAATAATTCTATTCCTAATTGGGTTTTCTAAAATAAAAAATGGCAGACAAATCAGCTGCCTCATCTCATCATGAAGATTTAAACAAAATTGCAAACGCTGATGGGACAGAGACAAACATTCTAGTGTCTGAAAATGGTTGGTTACCACATTTTATTAATAATTAATATAATTAATAATAATTAATTAAATATTTAATTTTTGACTAAATATAAACTCAGCACTATTTTTTCTCTGTTTTATTCTGTTCAAGAAAGTTATTATTACGTATAATTTTTTTGTTAATCTCAACTTATAATTCAGGTGAAAAAATGGAGGATGATGATGGAGGTTTATATGGATTTTTGTGATATTTTGCCATATATATCAGTTCAATCATCTAGAAATTTCTCTAAAAACATTACAAATAACCTTTCACAACCATAGTTAATTTCTAATCATTCGCATGACAACTCAGCCTTCATTATCAGATTCATTGAACATCTATCATGGTTTTCACCCTAATTTTAGGAAATTGGTCTGACAAAGCCTCAGAAAGCGGCAGCACAATGGACGAAGGGGGGACTGATTCAGAGGCAGGTGGGGTAGGCGGATGTGGTCCCGGGGTCACAAAACCAAAAAAGATGGCCAAAGTTGTAAATACTCAGTCTAAACGAAAAGATCATCTCAATATTGTTTTCATTGGACATGTTGGTCAGTTTAATTGTCGATTGAATTGTTGGATGAATGAATGACCGATTATGTTTGCTTTCTTTGTTTGTAATTAACATTAAATGAAGTTATTTTACATCGCAGATGCTGGCAAATCAACAATAGGAGGACATATAATGTAATTAGTGAATTAATATTATTTTTTACATTTTTCAAAATTTACATTAAAATTAATTATCCAATTGATTGATTGATTAACTTTACATTATTCAATTAGTCTTTCCTTAATTTTTTTCGTTTAATCTGTTCCTAGGTCTTTTCATCTTTCCCCAACTTGTTTATCTTTCTCAAAATTTTTATCTTTTTTCAATTTATAATCTTCCCTAAATCTGTTACCTTTCCCTAATTTAGGTACCTAACAGGACAGGTAGACAAGAGAACGTTGGAGAAATATGAGAGAGAGGCTAAGGAAAAGAACAGAGAGAGCTGGTAAGTTTGGAAAAAGATGTTGTCTGCCTGTCTCAGTGTGTATGTCTGTCTGTCTGTATCAGTGTGTATGTCTGTATCATGTCTGTCTGTCTATTTGTTTGTGACTAAATTCTACTTCAAATTTTCATTGATAAGAAGTATTGTACTTTTTTATTGGTCCATAATATTAACATCTCCATTATATTACAACCAAACATTTCACAATGTGTCAGGTACTTGTCTTGGGCACTGGACACCAATTTAGAAGAGAGAGACAAAGGTATTGAAGATGATCATTATTATAAATATTTATTATTATTATGATGATAATTATAATTATTATATCATCATTGTATAACTTCAGCAATCCTCCACTGCTAACTTCACTAACTTTGCATAACCGCCATCACCAACAGGCAAAACAGTGGAAGTTGGTCGGGCCTTCTTTGAAACTGAGAACAAACATTTTACCATTCTGGATGCCCCAGGCCACAAAAGTTTCGTCCCCAACATGATTGGTGGCGCTTCTCAGGCTGATATTGCTGTTCTTGTTAGTAGTCTTCTTCTGTACTAGTTCTTTAGTAATGTTTTTTAACAAAAATCATATGGTTTGTTTTGTTATATCGGAGAACTTTTTTAAAAAATTTAAAATACCCTTCTGCCTAATTTCACTAATTAGGTGATCTCGGCTAGAAAAGGAGAATTTGAGACGGGATTCGAGAGAGGGGGCCAGACGAGAGAGCATGCCATGTTGGTTAAGACGGCAGGAGTTCGACACCTCATCATTCTCGTCAACAAGATGGATGATCCCACTGTCGAATGGGACGAAGCAAGGTTAGAAAGGGCTCCAGGGATGGCCGATGTGTATACTCTTTTAAAAAATTGTTTTTACCTAAATTCGCTTTCTGGTGCAATTTCACACTGAAGGTTCAACGAAATCAAAGACAAACTGACGCCTTACCTGAAAAAGTGTGGCTTCAACCCGAAAAATGACATCACCTACATACCAGTGTCGGGATTGGTTGGCCACAATCTCAAAGAGGTCAATACTACCCTCTGCCCGTGGTATAGGTCAGTTTTGGGGTATTTTTCTCATTATAGTTTGATATTAGTGATAGTGTTGGTTCAGGGTGTTTCTTGATATATTGTTTGGTAGTCATGTTATTTTTATCTAATCAATCTTAGCAATGGATAGTTCTATTTATTACTGAATGTTTTTTATTTATTCTATAACATAAATTTATCTTTCATCATTTGTTTATTCAGTTTTTTTTTCATTCTCCAGTGGCCAATCACTAATCAGTTATCTCGATAGCCTTCCATCCATCAGTCGAATGAACAGAGGACCCATTCGAATGCCCATTGTCGATAGATACAAAGTGAGATGGTGATTGGCTAGGTAGAAAAATAATGATGATGATGATGATAAAAAAAAGTGATGATGACGATGTTGATAACAGAAGTGATGATGACGATGTTGATAAAAAATCTGTCAACCAATAGGACATGGGGACGATTGTTCTGGGCAAGATTGAGTCAGGGGTCATCTCAAAAGGTCAAGTTCTCACCATGATGCCTAATAAGGTCATTCTTGTGGTGGTGGTAATGATGGCAGTAATGATGGTGATAGTGATGATGACGATTTTAATTGTGATGATTATGATGGTTATTTTTAGTGTTCAGTGGAAGTCATGCAGCTCTGGTCGGACGACGACGAAACTGATCAGGTGTTTCCGGGAGAGAATGTGAAGATAAAATTGAAGAATGTCGAAGAGGAGGTTGAGATGATGACGACGATGATGACGTTTTGTCCCTTGTATTGTTTGTGTATGTTTTTGTATCGATTTTGTATCGATTTGGTGTGCTTGTTTCATTTGTTCATTATGTTACTTCGAGGAAGTCTTCATAGTCGTCGTCATTAATGTTCCCATCATCACCATCCTCCATCATTCGTCATTGCTATTTTACTTACGCTACCTCACTCGTCACTGTTATCACAATCCTAATCGCTATGAGCTCACCATCGTCTTAAGCATCGTCATCTCCATAGTCTCATCATTATCACTATCTCCTTAGCCGTCATCATCATCATCACTACCTCCCTAACTATCATCATCATCACTATCTCCCTAATCATCTCAATCATTATCAGGATGTGTCTCCTGGCTTTATTTTATGCTCAGTTGAAAATCTCTGCCATACTGCTAAAACTTTTGACGCCCAGGTTTTACTTAATTAATTATAATAATAATTATTAATTATAATAATTATATTATGATAATAACAAATATTATTTCTGTACTAATTTTAGAAATTTTCTTCTATTCTTCTAGGTAGTAATTCTGGAGCACAAATCAATCATATGTGCTGGGTACAGTGCCGTCATGCACATACATGCCTGTGCTGAAGAAGTTACTGTCAAGGTCCGTCCCTCTCTGTTCCTGTCTGTCTCTGTGTGTGTGTGTTTTTGTATACGCGTGTGTTTGTTTTCGTATGTGTGTGTGTGAGAGAGAGAGAGAGTTTGAAAAAAATGCCAATTTACTTTTAAATACTTTTAAATATTTTCTCCGTGTCAAAATCATTCAATCAAACCATACAAAAACTTCGAAATATATCGACAAACCCTTGAAAAACTTCGCATACGCGCACACTTACACACACACACACACACACAGGCCTTGATATGCCTAATCGACAAGAAAACGAACGAGAAATCGACGTTGAGGCCGAGATTCATAAAGCAGGATCAGATTGCAATTGTGAGGTTGGAGGTGGCTGCTGGGATGATCTGCCTGGAACCCTTCAAGGACTTTCCACAGATGGGAAGGTTCACGCTGAGAGATGAAGGTGAGGCATTTTCTGGATTTGATAGCTCTTTGTGAGTGTGTGCTACACGCGCGCTCGTGTGTGTGTGGCGTTGTGTGTTTTTTCTTTGTATTTTTTTTCTTTGTTTTTTCTATTTAGTATTCGTTTGAATGTCTGTGTTTGATGTTCTCTTATAAATGATTAATTTGATTGGTTTATTAGTTGACCAGTTGGTTGATTGATTGACTAATTGGTTGATTTTATTTATTTCAAGGACGTACAATTGGAATAGGCAAGGTGCTCAAAGTAGTTGCTTAAGATATCAATCACCACAGAGTACCCGTACATACATACATACATATGTATATATATATATATATATATATATATATATATATATATATATATATTGTTTAACAACATATTATTATTATCGTTTACGAGAAATTTAAGTTGAGTTCATTGATTAATTTTAATAATGATGATAATTGGCGATGATGATGTGATGTATCTAGATCATTTAGATTGTTATGTTAATGATGATGATGACGATAAAGGCATGATGATGATGATGTTATAATTATATTAATGCTTTTATGAACTTGTATATATATGTATGTATGTATGTATATATGTATCAGTTTATCTTTTTTTTTGTGTTGAATGTTAAGTTTCATTCATTCATTTCTCCATTCAGTCGATTCACATTTTTACAGATTACATATACATATAATATTACTATTATTCTTATTGTTTATTTATTTTCAAAAGGACGAATGAATGAATTAATTTTTTCGTGAATCGAAAAAGGCGATCGATCTAAATAGAGTGATAATAAATAAAAAGCATCATCTGTGTAATATCTATGGATATATTTGTTACTATTTCTTTGTTGTCATGGTGTCTTATTATTATTGTTGTTATGGGTGTTGATGTTATTATTGTAAGGCTTACTATCAGTATGTAATGTTCATACTCTCAGTTGTAATAAGCCAGTTGGTTTTATTCTTATTATTTTTAATAGTACTACAGTTATTATTATTGTTATTTATTTGTTATTATTATTATTTATTTAAGTTAATTGTTACTGTAATAATATATTTTTATACATAGGCTTTTTTGGATTTAGAGTTTATTTAGTAAATTAATCAGCAAACATACGGAGAAAAAAAACATATATATATATATATATATATATATATATATATATATATAGTTTTACAATATAATTAATTTTTATAGCAAAATGCGACCAAAGAAGATAAGAAAACACCAAAGATATAATAATGAAAAAACACTAACGATAATATAAAGTCAAAGATTAACAAGTATATATATATGTATATATATTATAAATATATATATACATATAATCAATTTATAATCTATAAATCAATTTAAAAATGAAATTTAACTATTTATGAGCAGTTCTTGGTGGATTGGAGATGAATATATATATATATATAATATGTATGTATATAAATATATATAGTATTTATGCTAGAAGTATGCTTATGGTTGATAAGAGTAATTTTTAGCCAGCAGTAGTCTTATTACAGTAATTTGCTTGAAGTTATGAACTAATAGAAGTAATTAATAATTTAATTAAAGTAATCAGTGATTTAATTAAAGTAATTAGTAATTTAATTAAAGTAATTAATGATTTAATTAAGGTAATTAGTAATTTGGTTGCTAGTTTTTTTTTATATTCCAATGATGCTTCAAGGTAATTTTCATTATTTAAACCATTTGTATATATGTATACATATATATATAATATATATATATATGTATATAATATATATATATAAACAACTGCATGTCTGATAGACTCAATCTTATATATATATATATAATATATTGAAAAATTGATTAATATATAAAGAAAAATCAAAGGCAAATTAACAAACAACGACACAGTAATTAATTTTGGTAAAAGTAATGACGATTAGAAACATCAAGAGATACACCAAACACACACACGCTCACACACACAATAATTAGCCATAAATTATTATATTAACGCATTCATTATGAAAAATGGTAATATCCCAATTATGTGACCCTATAATATGCGAGTATTCGATAAGTGTACGGTATCCGACGCCGGTTCTAACCGTATACCGGTTCAATCGGTATAACTTATATATATATATATATATATATATATATATATACATACATATGTAATGTTGTTTGTATGTATGTATAGAATGTATCATCAGCAATCGATTTCAATTATGCGCTCTGCAAATATGTGAGTGTATGTATGTATGTTTGTGTAGGTTTAAATTAAGAACAGAAAGATGAATGAACGACTGAATGAACGAACGAACGAATGAATGAATGAATGGACGAATAAACGAAAGAATGACTGAACGAATGAATGAATTAGTAATTTTCATTTGGTTGTACTAAATGAAAAAGTTATTCATAGCAAATTTAGTTGTAGAAAAACCATTAAAAACTAATAAAAACCATTAAAAACTAATAGAAACCATTAAAAACTAATAAAAACCGTTTTTCATCGTAATTAATAAAATTATTATTTAAATTATTAATATAATAATAATTTCAAAATTACCAACAAACCTATAAAACAGACAAATAAATCTATCGAAAACCCACTTCTATTTATCGACTGCATCTCTTAACATTCCCTCAAATGAGTTTGCCGAAATCTCATTGATATTGATTACAACTATTACTTTCATTGCTACTACTACTACCACTACTACTACTACTACTACTACTACTACTACTACTACTACTACTACTACTACTGCTACTACTACCAACGCTACCTTTACTACAAAAACAATAAAATTATTATCATTAGAGCAAATACTACTAAAACAAATGCAAATACTTTTGTTACTAAAACAGTCACTATTAATACTAACACCACTACTAATTGCTGTCTTGACTACTGCTGCTTCTAGAAATACTACTAATAATACTACAATTAGTATTTGTATCATCGATTCTTTCTGCTAGTAAGTACATTAGCGTAAATAAATTATTCATACAAAAAACATTCAAATACACATACACACATACATACCTTATAAGCGCATATAAAAAATTATATGAGAGAGAGAGAGAGAGACATAGAGAAAAAGACAAAGAGAGAGACAACAAACGGAGAAATAGAAAAAAAACCATAATTTGTTACTACAAAACCTACATTTTTAGTAAGACGATTAAAGAACTAGTTATAAAAATAATTATTCAAAAATCATTTTCATAATTGTATTCGTCTCTCTTGTGGGCTTTTCTACTAAATTTAATTTAAATGAAAAAAACCGGCAAAATTGAAGAAGAAAAAAGAATTTTTGAAGAGGATAGCTAAGTACGGTGAAATATTAATGAAAGTAAAAACAACATCACACGCGCGCAAAGTATAATGACGATGATGATGACGATGGTGATGATGGTGATGACGATGGTGATGATTATGGTGATGATGACGACGAAGACGATGATGATGATGATGGTAGCGGTAAAAGTAACCACGACAATGCCTACAAACAGCAAGAATGATATATAAAGACAGCAACGACGATGATGATGACGATTGTAATAGTGATGATAATGATGATGGAGAAGAAGAAGAAGATGGCGGAGAAGATGACGTAATGTCTGGCGATTTACAGTAGGAGAAGGACGATAATATTTTGACGTTATGAATCAATAGGTACAATCAATACGACATTTATACGATATATATGTATGTGTCTTTCTTTGTATGTATGTGTGTGTGTCGGTGTATATATATATATATATATATATATGTGTGTGTGTGTGTGTGTGTGTGTGTGTGTGTGTGGGTGGGTGTATATACGTACGTGTATGTATATATCCCATAGAGTCATCATAAACCACATCGTTAAAAGCATCTCTAATTTTATCGATTACAGAGAGAGAGAAAAAGAGAGAAAAAAAGAAAGGAGAGGATGTAGAAACAAATAAATCATAATTATATTATCATCGTCATCGTCGTCATTACTATAAGCATATAATGTAT